ATAACATAACACTCATCTAGGGCTGTGCAAAAAATCGAATGCGATTTTCATGCGAATCTCGTCAGTAAAGCCGCTTCTGGTGATTAGTAGTAAATCTCCAGCACGTGCTTTCAGATGGAGCGGCATTTACTACTGACGAGATTCGCATGAAAATCGCATTCGATTTTTTGCCCAGCCCTACACTCAACCGTTAATAAATACCAGCCTCTTATAGCAGAGCGGCAACAACGTACATTAGAGGGTCAGCAGAGTAATGCTAGGTGACAAGATCCTGTTCACAACACTAACACAGCAAAACGCGCTCAATAAAAGCTTGCCAAACCAGACAGGTAACTTTGAGTACTTTACAGGGAGAAGGAGACCAGTTAACCTATTACCACGTCAATATGCAAACATGTCCCTCTCATTCTGGAGTATCTGCAAACCAGCATTTAAAAGCCATCAACGTCTGCTTCCTTCAGTCAGATGTGGTACATTTTGCAATCTATAGACAATAAACTGTGTTAAACAAGAAAAGAAATCACCCAGTGAGGCATTGAGTCTGAACATACACATGTCCTGTTTGTCTTGCCTTTACTGCTGAAGTATTTGGGTCAGTCAGACTGCTAATCCATTAAGCACGATGAACAAGTCACAGAAGAAATTCAACACACTGCTTTTACAAGCACAGTGGGAATGTTAAACATTTTCATGCTAGCTTCGTAATCTCACCAATGGACCATAAGAGAGCACACAGCCTTTCTAAGAAAAAAGCAGCATCTAGACTGAATCGTAGAGCTTGAGATGATATTTTGTGGCATAAAGTTTGCAGAGGCCTACACATAATGCACATGACCTAGAAATCTCATGTCACGTTCTCCCATTCAGTCCTCCATTAATGCAGATCAGATGACATCATGAAGTCATAAAGCTCTGCATGTTTGATTCAGACTTATGATCTATTCACCTTCACCAGAATAGGCTCTCTGTGTGAGGTACATAAAGGAATCATTAACCACAACAAAAATGGGAGAACACCAGATTACTGTTTAGTGTATGTTTGCTCCTTTGCCATGTTTGTGGGTTACAAAAAAGGCTGATCATTTTCCCATTCAACCTTCAGTGCAGGGATTTTCAAACTAAGGTCCAGGGACCCCCAGAAGGCCTCAAGGGGTATTCTAATTTTCAGAGAAAAAAAACCCCGTTTTTGATCAGTATTTATTATGAAAATAATTTTGAAATAATACTTTTCAGATAATGAAAAATAACACTTTAAAAAAAAAAAAAACATGACAATAATATAACTTTAGAACATACTTATTTTTTCTGATATCCTAGTATAGAATAATCTTTATATTTTAGAAGGGTAGTTCTTTGCATCAATTTGAGGGGATCTGACATTAACAAATTGAATAATCAAAAATATGACTTTAAAATTGTCCCCATATTACTCTTCAGAACTCAAATCTCCAACATTTCTGGAGAGAACTGCTAGGGCAGTGTTTATCATATCCGCAAACAGTTTGGGGTTATTAAAAGTGGTCCTTGGTTCAAAAAAGTTTACTAGAATGCTCCGTAACTGGTTAAAAAGTGAACACTTCCTGCATACTCTGAGCACATTTCTAGATCTAAAGACTTCCTAACAGCTGAGGACAGAATCATCCGAATGTGACTGAACGAAAAGTATCTGTAAATATCTAGAGAAATGCTGACAACTTAATACTTCCTGAACGGAGTTACTGTTTTACAGAGCATTTTGCTGTGCTTGCCATATTTGCAGTGCTACAATTTCGTATTAAAAAAAAAAATAATTTTTACTTGTCAAGAGACTATTGCTGGCAAAAGTTGCACTCAAGAAAACCTGACAGGAAACGCTTGATATGAACATAAACTCTCAACATTTGCATACAAGTTCATGCACTAGCCTGGGGTGAATTTGCTCTAGTTTCACATAAGTCACAATGTGCATTAAGGAAAAAGAAATGGCTGAGATACAATTTTTGCACTGAAATATATTCTCTATCATTTTAGGCTCTTCATAGTTAAAGGTTGAGGCATTTCTGCTTTAGTCGAATGTTCACAATTGCTCTTAAAAATGAGAAACTTCATGCCTAACAATAGCCTTTACTCTTGACTATATTCACAATATTGCCTCTTCTAACTTATTGCTTCATTAAATGCTGTTAGCTTGAAGTAGCAGTTTACCATGCCAGTCAATGCTCCTCACGATCTATGAGAACTCATCATCAGATTTAAACTTAATAAACACATGTTAAGACTAGGCCTGGGCGATAAAACGGTATCGATATTTATCGACGGTACACCTTCTTCGATAACGATAGAAAAAATGTTCGATATGGCTCACGATATAGGCACGTACTACGAGTGACGCAGACAGCACACACAAACACGAACACATGCTGAAATGAGTGCTGTGCCTGCCTGTGATGAGGAGATTGTGAATAAAGAATGAATATTAGTCAAATTTAAAGGGGTCATATGATGTTGAATGTTAGGTGTGCGTCATGTGTATTTGGTGTAATGAAATGTGTTTATGCGGT